GATGTAAAATGCAATCTCCCTTCGTTCTCTGTCTGTTTCGCGGGGTCTGCCGGTGGCCACGAAAAATCAGAGCAGCTCAGGCGGAAAGCGAAAGCATTTATATGGCAACGGGGCCAGCGGTAACGGCGTGCCGGGGGCTTTCGAAGGGGTAGGCGAGGGGCGAGGGCAGGGGTTGCTGCCACTCAGGGGTACGGAGGAAATCAGGATAATTGTTAACAATTAGCTTAATCAACCTCGAGAGCAAGCTTTTGTTGGGCTGGGTTCTGATACGGCTGCCTGGGGTTCTCATGCGTCGCTCGTATATTTTCTTCCAAGAAATAATTCGATGATTTCGCGCGACAATTGTTCCCTTGATCCGGAGGAACGAGGGAAATTGCGTCCTGACGTTTTTCGAGGAAAAACCGAGACGCGTTACGTTCAGAACGCGGTGGAATTACGACCATTTTCTATAGTTCGTATAAATTCTTCATAAAATATAACTTTCGAACGTTGGATCAGAGGTGATTGAAACTTTTTATTCTTTTCTTCGTTGTTTTCAGGTCTGGTTTCAAAATCGACGCGCGAAATGGCGCAAGAAGGAGAAGGTCCTCGGCAGAGACACCAGTTTCATGCACGTGGAACAGAGCGGTAAGCTGAGCTGTATTTTTAAGAATTTCCCGTTCGATTTGTCAGTTCGATTAGGACACACGTGTGTACGTAGTGTGTTTGTTAATACGCGAAGAAAGTTAGGGAGGGTAGATGCAATCGGCGACAATTACGTCTAATTTCAGTGTCGGCCATCGTGGTCATCACACGCGAACGATGCGCGACGGAAGCGTTTAATTTTTTACGAAGGGCCTACGATCGACACTCCGTGAAACTTATTTCCACGTAGCTAACGATCCTGCGAACGAAACGTAGTTCAAATTTCAATCGTTCGAGAGAATACCAACCCCTACTTCACTGCGTAACAAGAATCGGAATAAATTCTAACAGATATCGAACTGAAAGATAAATTCGAGTATTCTCGAGTGACGTTCAAATTTCTACCGAACACACGCAAGTAGCACGTAACCATCGAATCTTCTTTTGTTCAAAATCAATTGGCTGTTCAAGACCACTTCCCTCCCCTTTTTCCACAATATCTCTCTAGTTCTATCTAATCTCTGTGAAACGACCATACGCATCGAAAACAAACTCGTCCAAGTCAATTAACAACAATCGGATAGAACAAACAGTATTATACGTTTGCGTAGAACGTAGATTGTTCTGTTACTCCTCCATCGGTCCCACGGCCAATTGATCTTGGACAAACAGATCGAACAAAGACGCAGTTGGATCGCGAGATGCTAATTCCCCCTGACCAAACAACAACCCCCTGGCGACGTGAACATAAAAAACGAATGAAAAATTTCGCAAGCAACTGAAATCCCTGCAAAAAACGGTGTGATTGCAGGTGTCAACGAGCTGTCCCTTCACGCCCGCTTGCTTCAAACCGCCGGTGGTGTGCCAGGTGCGGATCCATCGGGAGGACCAGCGGGTGCCTTTTCCTGGTTCATCCCGCCGGTGTTCCCACCGCCATGGCCGGCCAGCGCGCCCAAACTGCCCCCGTTGCACGCGATCCTCTCTCAGTACATCGGGCTACCCCTTCCGCAGAACCTGGCGTCTCTGAGCTCGGTACTTCCGGTCGGTCTGAACCCGGCCTCCTCGCTCAACCACAACAACGTGAACGGACATTCGCTTGGTACACACATACCGGGCCATCCGTTGAATCTTGGTGTGCAGAATCTACCGCAGAACCTGAGTTCGAAGCACGACAAAGAGGAGGACTCAGGTTCGTCCGACGACGAGATCAGGAGGCAGAGCGCCGAGGTGCTCAGAGTGAAGGCTGAAGAGGTTCTACGCAAGGTGGATAATTAACTATCGCAGCTGGAGGATCGCCTGATGTAAATATCGCGAGGGACGTCTGTGAGAAGGGGGTGGATCGGACGTTCCCGAAGATGTCGTTGATGACGTGGTTGAAGATGGATTGATGCCTTGAATCAACGGGACAATGGAAGGGAGGGGTTGAAAATTGTGGGGTGAAAAGTGGGTGCACGGTTGTATCGGACGATTTAAGGGTGGAACTCTAAGAATTTCGTTATGATTGTACTTCGAATGGAAGATATAACGAGCTAGTCTGTGGAGTGTTTAGCACGGATTTATCTTGAGTCGACGCTGAGAGAATGGTATCGTCGAAACCGCTGGCGGTTTTCCGACGATTCGTGTTTTCTTCGGTTGCTTCTCGTTAATCAACGGAGATATCGTGTTTCTTCGATCGACGGAGACACGGGAATGTAACATAGAGGTGATTGTGTAAGAATAAAATCGGGACAGCTACGCGGTTTTGGATATTTACCAGATTTTGGTACCTTTTACTACACCAAGTGGTATTTTCAAATAATAACTCGGTAATTTTCATCCAAAACCGCGGAGCATCTCGACGTAATTTTCGCAAAGTTACCACCGGAAGCGCGCGGCAAGTCTCAGCTGGGACAGGAATTTTCTTAGAGTATCCGGTTTCTTAGAAACCGTCAGGGGAACGATCGAAACTACTAGCGAATGAAGAAACTTTTGTAACATACATGTATTATACGCAAACGTGCATATATATATATACATACATATATATAGAACACGTACGGTTTCTTTCATGTAAATATGTAGCTAATTAATTACATCGAGAAAAATATATGACACTACTAAGATCTATCATCTTATCATTTCACCTTTTCAACCAATTATTCCTCCCTCGAAAAAAAAAAAACACATCGACACCAACCCCATGAATAATCGCTATTCCAACAGAAAATTGATCCCAATTTTTTCCACCGACTAAACACACCTCTATCCCCTTAACCGATATATTACGACACATCGAGAACACGAATCCTCGAATAATAGCTAATGAACGTATTTTCGTCGGACTCAGGCCCCCCCGAAATTTTCCCCAACAGTGTTCTCACACTGTTAACGCGGTTAGCGGGCGACAAAATCGCTTCCGTGTCATTAATCACGAAAAGATTTCGTTGCGATTTCCCGAATTCTGGATGAACGTTGGAAAGAAAAGGGGGGGACAGCTGTTACACGGGGGTCTACTTTGCCACCCTCGTCGAAACGGGGGCGATTCGATTCCCACGGACTCAGACGGTGTAAACATCGAACGGTGGCGTTTAATCGTGCCATATACCCAACCCCGTTCGCTCTTTTCGTCGTGTCGGCTTCCCACGTGTGTCCTGGCTCAGGTAGGTGCCATACCTCTGTCTTCCTCCCTCTGTGCTCATCCCGGGTAACACGCACAACGGCAATTACAATCCAACCAATTTATCCGGCTTATCAGAAATTTATCTGCAGGTAAGGACGAGGCGCGGAGCGACGACACCGGCGCGCGACAATTATCGTTATCGTTATTGAACGGGTCCGTGGCGATGTCGAGGGAGCAAAAGCACGGGGGAAGTAATTATTGCGCCACCTGCGCCGGGACGATCGTCATCGTTCTGTCTCTCCCGATAAGATCGACCAGATAATGCCACAGGCTTGCGGGAAACGTTGTGGTTTGTTTCCTGGCCGAGCTTTTGTGTTATGATATTTCTGCCCTCTTTCCTTCCTTTTTCCGCCTTTCTCTCCTCGTTGCCGCGCTTTTGTCATCGTTACCGTGGGAGTTTTGTGTTTCGTGTTTCAGCTAATTACACCACGAGGGGGGGAGGGAGAGACTTTTGGTGAACTGTGCTCGGTGAATTAGGTTCGATGATCGATACCTAAGCGGTTCCGTTTGCCTGATTATTTTCCGTGCTGTTTTTCGTGTCTATTTCTGTCGGAACGACGTGACGATAGAGGGAACAGCCTAAAGGAGATTTCTCGAGAAGATTCTCGAGGATCGGACGAGTGCCTCGAGAATTCGCTCGAGAATCGAAGTGTTTGAAAAACTGTATCGATTAATGGAAACGTGGTTGTACACCGTCGACGGTATGGATCCACTTTCACGTGGAAATTTTCGGAGGAAACGGCTGAAGACGTCGGTTAGGAGTGGAGAGTGAGCGTATGCCGCGCACTCGAGATATTTCGCAGACATTTTATATTCGCAACACTAGAAAGAGCACGCTTTGCATGCTTTCGAAATTCCTCTCCCCCTTGCATTTTAGCTCAACGACCGTGTCGCATAATGCTGTAAAGTTCCGCTAAATGGAACCACTAGAAGGAGAAAGAAACTCTTCGGGTACACTTTCGCCCTGGTTTCATTCACCTCGTGTCGATTCGTAACGTGTTCGCACCATACTCGTGTCCATACGATGCACTTAGGTATCGATAGCCAGTGGTACCTGCCAACGCGAAAATTTCTCTTCTGTTTCGCAGGAGTACTGCACGGATCCTTCGCGATAGCGATGGACAGATCCCACTACTGGTCGAAAAATCGACGAGGAAATTTTCACTTCGGAACGTTTCACGGTGAAGTTCGTGTGCAACGCGGGAGAAAGATGAAAGTTAGGGAGAATAGGAAGAGGAACAAAAAGTCTTCAAAAATTTCATTTCGGTTGTGTAACGTGCGCGTATGTAGGTATATGCAGGCGGGTATCCACGATGCCTCGCGGAAGCACAGGCGACGTCAAATTGCGAATTGTTCGCCGGGGCACGGTCTCCGTCTGAACTTGGAATATTTCGAGTGTAATGAACTTTTAATAAAACAGTGCATTACAGGAATTTAATAAACGTTTATTATACGTTGGAATTTAATTGCAGACATTACAAGCTCGCGCCGCGCTTTTTAAACTCCGCCGCCGCGGAAAGAAATTCGAGCGTAGCCCAACAGGCGGAACAGAAGCGTGTCCAGCTAACTTCTTCTTCTCGTTTTTCTTTCTCTCTCTCTCTCCGTCTCTCTTTCTCCTCTTCTGCGACGTGTAATCATATGTTTTAAGGGGTGGGTGGGAAGGGTGGACGAGGGATCAGAGTTGAATACCACTGATCGCGATCGCGACGGCTACGAAGGACAATTAGATTAAAAGCAGCGCCTCTCGCGGCGGCTTGAGATCCATTAGTGCCCATTGTACCACCCCATTTGTACCCCCGACGTACCACCCCCGTGTGCCGTTACTTCAGCCCCTTCCACCTTCTCCCCTGAGCACAGCCACCATCTCGAAGCCAGGTACTTATTCTCAATAGTAATATGCTCACTTCATACTTCCATCCCCCTCCTGCTACCTTACCCTCTTTTCCCGCCTTCGACACCCACCAACACGTCTATCCAACTCTCTCTCTCTCTCTCTTTTTCTCCCTTCTCTGTGCTTGCACACACGTTATTCCCTCCCTCCCTCTCTGTTTCTCTCTTCATCCATCCTTCGCTCTGTTCTTGAGAAGCGGAAAGTCGCGAGAAGTGGCACGGTCTGAAAAGATTTCTCCGCTTGTGAAAATCACTAGCTGCGCTGATACCACGTCCAAGAACACCGGCATTAATGATACCCTGAATGACATCAATTAGTCCATCTGCCGTGATAAACCTCCATCGTCGAGATTACTACCTATTCTAGACGCCTTTTCTTTCCCACCCTCCCTCCGCCGCCACCGACTAAGTAACTGATTTCCACTGATTGCACTGTCCTGTCCTCGGCAGAAATCGCGGCGCATAATGTTAATCGACGGTAAACTTCGTTGCACGCGAGGCAAGCTTGTAACAACCCGAAGTCTTATTTTACGCGTTCCCGCGGCTGCATTCTATCCTGTTCCGGTATTGTTCGTAACGTTTCCTGAGAACCGCTTATTTTCGATACACTCCCCCGTCCTGAATTCGAGGAATCCAACCACCGGCCCTTGAGTTTCTCTTGCTTTGGAAATATCCATACCTATCTCTCTCTCCTACACTCTTTTCCATTTCCTTCCCTCTTTTCTATCCTCGAGCATTCTTTATGAAACAACAAAGACACGTCGCGTCCTCTCTTCTTCGTTCAAGATCGGAATCAATCTCAGGAAAAAAGCTATTTTCATCGATCGGCAAAATTTCTCCTTTAATCTCCGATCCTTGTAACGTTTTCTCCTTGAACCAACCAATTATGATAAAATTCATTACACTCGTTTCTTGAAGAGCGTAGGATACACGGGTAAACTATTCCACGCGTTTCCTTCGAGAGGTTAATTACCATGGAAAATGCGTTGCCTCTTGTTTTCCCTCCAAAGGTGCAACGATTTTTCCACTCGCGGGCAAGCCTTCAGTGACGCTTAAATTGTATCTACATTTACGAGCTGTTAGAGCAAACGAGAGGGAATACAGAGCCACTCGAAAGACAGGAGTATAATATAATGGTACGCGATGCCGTACGAAATCGGTGTGCAACGGTGAAAACACCGTGATACGATTGCACGGCTATTGTTTACCTCACTTTATACGCTGGAAAATCTTACAGGATCGTTTTCCATTTTCAAAGGTATTATATACCCCCTTCGTCTTGGTGCGTCGCGTCTTACCGCCGCCATTTTGCCGATGGAATATCTCCGGTGAAACTGAAATCTAACCTGTACGTAGTTTGGATCAAGCGTTCGAACAATTACCATTATTCATAGAATATTTGTCTCTTGCGATTGTTCCCATTGTTATTTTGTGAGAATTGAAGGATCGAAATTTGGTAGTTGATGAAAATCCCGAGCGACAGATGGATCACAAAATAACAAAGCGGTGGAACGGTAGCAGGCGGCAAGTAATAAAAAAAGAA